AAGAGTACATGCAAATTTTAAGTCACTATAATTTCTCAAAAAACCCATGAATTGATTTAAAATTTTTCAAGTAGCTTTTTAATAGTAATAGGAATCTATAATAACAAATTCAACATGCTAGCATCGTTTAAGTATATAGCCTATACATCCTTAAATGGTAGTTTTCAAAACGCATGCACCATTTATAAATGCAGATCGAGGCAGGCAAAGCAGGCGATCCTTATCACGTGATGCGTGCGACGCTATGCGCGTTTGCTATTATCGCAGATGCAATTTTTAAAAAGGGCCTAGCTGGATAAGGGAGTCAAATGTGCCCTTGAACCGAATGAAGCGCCGTTTGCAACATTTGATAGTTTATCAAGAACTCCAATCACTCCAATTTTTAGCCCTCTATCTCAACCAGGAGGAAAATAATCGGGAAAATTTGAAAAATCAGATTTTTTAAGTTTTTCCTTATTTAACGTCTTGCGAAACATCTGAGAAAATTCTGACATGTTCGTAGTGTACCTGGCCATGTCTGAGAATTTTTTTGAGCAGAGTTGTTAAGGATTTCTGTTTATGACTTATATAATAGTTAAACGGGAGTCTACTGTACATGTTCATATAGGATGACTTAGTTAGAATAGTTTATTGAATTTTAAAAGAAACTCATCCTGCATACTTGTAGAAAGTTTTTCTAAAATTGTTGCTGCAATGTTTATAGTACTGGACACAGCGGGGCAGGAAGAATTCAGCGCGATGCGAGAACAATACATGAGGAGCGGAGAAGGTTTCCTGCTGGTCTTCTCGATAACAGACTTATCGTCCTTTGACGAGATATTGAAGTTTCACAAGCAGATCCTTCGAGTGAAGGATCGCGAGGAATTCCCGATGCTCATGGTTGGGAACAAGGCCGATCTAGATTATCACAGAGTTGTAAGTAAACAGAAGATAACGAGAGGGGAGATTTCACACCGGGAGAAGTCCGGCACCGATGTATGTATTAGGTGTAGAAATTAATTCAGTGCCTTTTTTAAAATGAATTTAGTATTTATGTATAAAGTAATCATAAATTTGTTATTCTTCACAGTAATCTCCATTATTTTTGTCGATTCATCGTTCGATTTCGTGGTTCATCATTTAGGCAACTGTCGAATTCTTTGACGAAAAAAGTACGGAGATTTTGGTCCAATGAATTCGTCAATACATTTTTGTATGGCCATAATCTGGGTTTAATGGTTGAGGTTTTTATTGCGCGTCCTCAGTTTAAATTTTTGTCCAGTCATCAAGGGGCTGTGTTGATGCAATAAAACAGCTTCTTTGTAAACACGATTGTCCCTTCGTTTTTGAAGGTTTAGGCTTAAGACACTGTTACTTAGCTTTCCCACTTCTGGGATTTAGTTTTTGTGGAATAGCGTCGAACCTTTGTCAAGGACGACGCCTTGTATCTGACTGGCATCAAGGTAGACGTACCTCTGTTCTTTTTTGTGTTGTTGTTATGTTGGATTTGGATGACGAACTAGCTTATCACTATTGACATAGTTAACTCGACGACGAACACCTTAAATTTACCTTGTGGAAATGGAAAACATTCTTACTCATCTTGACTTCTGTCCCTACTCGTTCTATCCCTAGTATCTCTGTTCTTATCCTGTTTTGATCATAGGACCTCGATTACTTTTACTGACTATATTATTATAAGGACAATAAAAATTGTACAAACGATCAGATTTCCAAAATCGTGCTTGTGCACAAAGTCATACCATCTAATAAACTAGAGTTTCCACTTAAAAGTTCTTGCATTTAATTCCAAACATGGAGTTCAATATTGAAACAGTGAAAATTCGCATGATTTAAATAAAATTTTATTAATAACAAAATTACTTTTAAATGTGGTTTTGAGAAACACGAAAATTGTTGGGGATCCTAGAATATCGTCGTGGAGTCTAAGTATTAGTAATTAAACATATAAAATAGCAGAGGATTATTTATATTCAAGTCAGAGTTATAAATAATTGAATAGGAGATACTGAATTAATTTCTATACTTAATATACTCCTTTGTCACAATTGTAAGATGTAATGTTGCAGGTACAAGTGGAGGACGCGCAGAACCGAGCTCGTAGATTGAAAATACCTTATATAGAGTGCAGCGCGAAGCTGCGTATGAACGTCGACCAAGCTTTCCACGAGCTGGTTAGAATCGTTCGGAAGTTCCAGCTGTCCGAGAGGCCGCCGTTAGAATTGAATTATAAGAAGAACAAGAAGAAATGCTGCATGCTGTAATATGCCGATGTGTTCATATCCAACGAATCTCGTATCCGTTTAAAGTGGTACAAAATAATCGAATCGAGGTAGAATCGGGGAACCAATTAATCTATGCCAGGGATGGGGAACCTTTTTTTATATGAAAGGGTATACGTATTTTCTGAAATAGTAGCAAGACTGCATCAATTTTTCCAACCATAAGTTACAGAGTAAAACAATTTACAATAAAATGATTCATAATGTTTTCATAATAATTCATCTATCTTCGTTTTGTATCAACACAAAATTTAAAAAACGTAACAACTGGACTGCGGTTTTTTATGAGACGCCTGTGACATCAATGAAAAAAATTAAATCAGGATTTAAATTCCTTTTACGATTTATGATATTCTTTATTTATGTTAACAGAAAATCTTTTCATTTTCAAAAATAATGACGTATATTATAATTTTAATATTCTGTACAATTCTGCACATTGCGTATTTATGTTTTCTGCGCGTCTGAATTTTTTTTACAAATGCATAAAGTCCGCATTCTGGGAATAATTTTCCAAATTGTTATTGAAGTCAAATTACAATTGTTTTACATTCACTCTGTATTATTCATGACTATAGAAAAAAAACTGCAGGAAAAATTGTACTATTTTAGAAAATAATATTTAAGACAGTAAATGGATCTCCATTTTATAAGTAAGGAACACACAGAAAATATAAGAAGGCCACAGGTTCCCCATCTCAAATCTATAAGATTGTCAAGATCAGAATTATTTCAAATCGAAATTTTTACGCACGACGCGAAATTCGCGGGTTTCCCACCTCTGATCCATGAGATTGTTGAGATACCATTAGAATTATTTCAAATTGCCTGAAATCTTCACGCACAACGCGAAACGCCGCCTTCAAATATCTCGAATAATATTTCAAATACCTTCGCTCGATTACGAAACGAATTAATAGAATAGTATTTACAAAATGTGTAGGAAGTTCGTATAACTTTGAGTACATTAGGAGGATTAACC